GAAAAAGATAAATCCTATGAAAGAAAAATGGACGAAGAATATAAAAAAGCCATTCACAGAAGCATTCAGAAACACTATGAAAGTCTAAGAATCAGGGAATTGAAAACTACACTCAATATAATAGCATTCTGTACTTATTAGATTGATAAAAAGTTTAAACTTATCAATATTGAGTATTAGAAATACTGTAAAGGCATGAAGACTGTGGATGGACCTGAAATTTGTGCAGATCAGCATGATTTATTAAAACAAACATAATTGCACACTGTCTGCAACCCAGTAATTCTGTTTTATTAACTTCCCTTGTTGCTCAAAAAAGAAAGCATTTTGATTTTGTCAAACTTATTGACAAAGTTACAACTTTTTCTATACTTTTAAAAGTAGTTGGATAAAAATGTCTGGCTTGCTAGTTATCATCTACAAGTTTTGTAGGAGATAGTATATTAAATGTATTAACAAAATTGATGTTTGGTACATATATCATGTATAAAGAACTATGTTAAGAATTAAAAGAATTATAGCATCATTTGTAAGTATAAAAAAAGTACCTAAATGTTAATCAATAAGGGAGGTGCTAAAGTAAATGAACTATAGTCTCAGTTATAGAACGGGGGAGGCAGGGGCTGGGGTTGTGGCTTAGTGGTAGAGCACCTGCTGGCATGTGTGAGGCACTGGGTTCAATCCTCAGCACTACATAAAAATAAATAAATAAATATGTTGTGTCCATCTACAACTAAAAATAAAAAAAAGAATGAAGGTAGGTTTATATGTATTAACATGAACTAGTCTCTATAACAAAATGTCAAGTAAAAAAGAATATGGCAGAACATTACATACAATGGAATCCTATTTAGGTTAAACAAATACACAAAAACACAATACTATTAATTGTTATGATTTTATAAGTAATGACATGTAAATGAAGGTACTAAGATCTGGAATGACATCTACAACACTGCTCACACTGGTGATCTGGAGAGATATTGAGGATGAATACTGAAATCTAAAGCAAGATTAAAAAGGACTTTAGCCCCATCTGTAACACATTAATTTCTATCATAAAAATGTATTTATTATGAAAAGTAAAAATAATTTAACATTAATCACAGAAGTTTTTATTTCAAAATGTATAAAGATATAGATTACTATTAGTAACAAAATAAGATATCCACATTATACTTTTAGGTGAACAAAGTAAGTTTCAGTATGATTCATTTAGCATATACTTTCATTGGAAAAGGAGAGAAAGTCCATTACCTAGATGAATGCTGTATCTGAAGGGAGTGAAGTGAGATAGAGAGAGAGAAGATATGGTACCCCTTTTTAAAAATATGTTTCTCTCTTGTTTCAGTTTTATAACAAGCACGCTCTTCTCTTATAATAAAATATTTAATCTTATAAAGGCCTCCATGGCTAGTTATAAAACATCTCAGGTTTCACACCTAGACCATGGACTATCTCCAGGTCTCACTTTTGCTTTAAAGATAAAAGCTTCCATATCTAAGGGATTGACTTGCAGGTCATGGGCTGTCAATAGAAAACAGCCTTCTCACTTCACATGCACTGATAGGGCTCTTTCATTAATAATCAAGAAAATAGGAAAATGTAAATTATTCTTTTCTAAAGATTAGTAACACATTGTTTTTCATTATTATTATTATTGGTTTGTAAATCTCTGGCAAAGTGTGTAAGAGCTAAATATTCTAAACCAAATCTTAGTCAAGAATTCAATCTAGAACTAATTATAAAGCATCCACTAGAAGAAACTGTACAAATTGCATAACCACATTTTTTATTAACTTAGTTACAATAAGATAAGTGTATAAAGCGACATTACTGTTCTTTTTGCCCCCCCAAAAAAAAAGAAAAAGATTTTTTTTAAAAGTGTCTGTTTCGATGATATCAAACATGGTAGGAAGAACCTCTTCCTTTAGTCGTTTCCTGTTTGTCAGTTTTCTATCTAGGTGTCAGGTTTAAATTTGGAACATGCAATATGCAGTGAATTTATCTCAGGCAAAGGAAGAAAAAAGAGAAAGGAAGAAACAAAACCTCAAATTACCCATTTTAAAATAAAATGTAATTTAATATATAATGTTACTTTTTCTAGTTATAAAATTTATAGGGCTATAATTTGCAGGATGCCAATGAGTGCCACAAATAAATACAGCTCTAATTGCTTATGAATTGTTAGACTGTGATTTGAAGCCTGGTTTAGAAATTGCTGACATTAAAAGATTATGAAGTAAAAGTGATAATGAAAAGCAATAGATTCCAAAATGGAGGAAAGTCAAAAGTGGAAAATAAAGAACAGCAAAAAGTGTCAGAACCTCCCAAGAGAATGATAAGAAGTAAATATTCTATTACAATCAAGGTATACAATAGCAGCCAGGTGTGGGTGCACGCCTGTAATCCCAGCAGCTTGGGGGGCTGAAGCAGGAGGATTAAGAATTCAAAATCAGCCTCAGCTACTTAGTGAGGCCCTAAGCAACTCAGCTCTTGCTGTCTCTAAATAAAATACAAAAAGGGCTGTGGATGTGGCTCAGTGGTTGAGTACCCCTGGGTTGAATGCCCATTATCCACCCCCCCCCCAAAATAGAAAGAAATACAATAACACTCATTAAATTATGTGATTTATAAAAGGATTCACTGTTACAAAAATGTAGTTCTCTCTTAGCTAATATACAGAGAAAATGAAGAGAACAAAGCCCTATTCGACCCTCCTAAGGACTGACCTTAAGAATAGCAAAACACTAAGAGAATTCTCTTCATGCTTTCAGATCTAATTCTTACTTGCCTAATTCTCTTTATGTACCTGCCTAAATAGTAGGTAGAATAACCATTCCTGGGATTTTCCAATATAATGACAGATTACTTTTTAATTTTGATATAGATGGCACAGTAAATGCACAAACCTTTAGTGTATAGCACAATTAATTTTTGTATATGTATACATCTGTGATTACTATATGAAACAATCCATTACTTTAGAAAATATTTTTCTGACCCTCTCCAGGCATTTCCTCTTCCTTCAGAGATAGCCAGCCACTATTGCAACCCCTATCATGATAGTTTATTATTCATGATCTTGAACTCAATACCCACAAAATCATATAATATGTAATATTTATATCTGGCTTCTTTTACTATTTTAACTTTTTTACTTGTTTTAATTAGTTATACATGACAGTAGAATACATTTATGTACTTTGATATATTATAAATAGAAAGAATATAATTTCTCATTTTTCTGAGAGTATGTGTTGCAGAATCATATTTGCCATGTAGTCACATATATACATACAGTAATAATGTCTGTTTCATTCTACTATCTTTTCTATCCCCACATCACCTCCTCATCCCTCCCATTACTTCCCTCTACCTAATCTAACGCTATTCTTCCCTAGTGCCCCATCACTTTATTATGAATCCACATATTAGAGAAAACTTGGCCTTTGGTTTTGGGGGATTGGCTTATTTCACTTAGCATGATATTCTCAAACTCCAACCATTTACTGGCAAATGCCATAATTTCACTCTTCTTTAAAGCTCAGTAATATTCCATTGAGTGCATATATGCACTCAATGGAATATATATATATACACTCAATTATTTCCATTGAGTGGAAATAATTGAGTGTATATATATACACTCAATTATACTCAATAGTATAATTGAGTATAATTGGTTCCATAGTCTAGCTATTGTGAATTGTGCTGCTATAAACATTGATGTAGCTGCATCACTAGAGTATGCTGATTTTAAGTCCTTTGGGCATGAACCAAGGAGTGGGATAGCTGGGTCAAATGGTGGTTCCATTGCCAGTTTTCTGAGGAACCTCCATACTGCTTTACATAGAGGTTTCCCCAGTTTGCAGTCCCATCAGCACTGTATGAGTGTACCCTTTTCACACATCCTCACCAACATTTATTATTGCCTGTATTCTTGATGATTGTCATTCTGACAGGAGTGAGATGAAATCTTAGAGTAGTTTTGATTTGCATTTCTCTTTGAGACAACAAAAATCATTTGTTTTGTTACCAAATCTGCAACTTGATCAAGCTCAGTGGAGACAACTTATCTCTAGTCTATACAGCATCAGCCAGGGTTAAGTAACTGATGCTGGAGGATCCACTTCCAAGATGGCTCATTTGCATAGTCAATAGGTTCATGCATACTATCAGATGGGTGCTCAGTTTAATATTTCATTCCATCATAGCATCAGACTCAGGCTCGAAGTATTAAATATTATTATCTAAGCCAGATTGTATTAGTTCAGTCTGCCATAGCAAAACATCATGAACTCAGTGGCTTAGGCAAGAGAAATTTATTTCTCACAGTTCTGGAGGCTAGAAAGGCCAAGATCCACATCCAGCAGGGTTTAGTTTCTAGTGAGGGCTTTCTTCCTGGCCTATATGTTGAGAGCCACAGCGAAGGGGCCCCAGCAAACTTTCAGACTGCCAGCTGATAATTGGCTCACAGCAGCCCCAGCAACATCTAGCTGATTGGCTCCTCTGCGTGATGCTCATTGGGCTGTTTCCCTGCCCTTTCAGACCACGGAGCTGCTCATTGGGGGACTTTTTTGGCTCCACCCACGCGATCCAGCCAATCGGCCTCTAGAGCAGGAGGATTGTAGGAGGTGGAGAGGCTGGTGGTTTTGGGGGAGAGGCTTGTGGGAAGCCGGTGGTGGCAGTTGGGCTCTGAGGGTTTTTCCTGAGGAGCCGTTTTGTTTGGCATGTGTGGTTCTAAAAATAAAGTTAGTTTCTTTTGACAAGTGGCTCCTGATTGAGCCCAGCCAGACTGTGGCACTATAGATAGCTATCATCTTACTGTGTCCTCACTTAGGAGAGAAGGGGAGGAGGAAGACCCTAATAGGACTGCATATCTCTCTCTCTCTTCCTCTTTTTATGAGGCCAAGTCCTATCTAATTAGGGCCTTGCCCTTATGACAACTTTTAACTTTATCCCCTAAATAATGTATCTGCAAACACAGTCACACTAGGTTTAAGGGATTCAGCATTTTTATTTTGGGGACACAAAGCACAAGTCTACCTATAGTCCCTCAGGTGAGGTTCCTTGAATACAGATTTATGGGTAGAGTTTCTAATTATTATAGAGCCTGTGGATTAAAGAAAATATTTTTCTCAGGCTCTGATGGTGAGACAGAGATTGCCTATAATAGACAGGTCTATCCAAAAAAGGGAAGGAACAAAGGTAAAAAAAAAAAAATCACAGATTCCATGGCAATTCTGAAATCCACTCAGGCACATGGCACCAAGCCTGCTTGATAAGAGCACAGTGATGCTTCCTGAGTGATTATTCTTGGTCCTTGGCTTGGACCTCTGGGTTTTAGGCTCTCTCTTTTGAATCATTTTATTTCCCATTTCCAGGTACCATTCCTATAAAAAAAAATTACACCAAATTTTAATGTCTTCAGATAATAGTCATTTAATTATACATTATCATTATCATTATTATTATTATTATTATTATTATTATTATTATTATTATTTTGTGGTACTGGGGATTGAACCCAGGGCCTTGTGCATGTGAGGCAAGTACTCTACCAACTGAGCTATATCCCCAGCCCTATACCTCATTATTTTAGGCCTCTGGAATTTGGTCAGAGCCCAGCACATCAGAACTTCCAGAAAGCGTGTTCCAAGGATACAAAGCAGAAGCTACCAAGTCTCTTCTAACTTAGTCTTGAAGACATACCATGAGTTGCTTCTGCTACATTATACTAGCTATGAGTGAGTCACAAGACCTGGGGGTATGATGGGTAGGAATAAACAAAGAAATATGAATAGGATACAAAATTAGTATATCAGTTGAAGAATAATAAAAAGCTTTGTAATGTCACCATTCCTTATCCAATCAACAAATAAGAATGTTCAACTTTTTAGTTATTATGTTTTATCTCTGTGTTATGTAAGTTAAACTTTCTGTACTTTGTTTTTTTAACTGTTAAGTGGGGATAAGATACCCACGTCATAGATTTTTGTGATGATTAAATTGAGACTACAATATACTTACAGGTAAATGTGTGGCATAATAATACAAATGTGTAATAGTTTTAGTCCTTATTCCTATAGGAATCCTATTGGAAAGGAATTATTTGTGACATAAACAACAACAAAATAGACTCATTGAAATTACAAAGATCCATTCACTGAAATGATGTTATTTTTATTGTTGGGGCTCAGATACAGTCATAAGTTGTGTTGTGAAGGGGATATGTCCTCAGAAATGTGTCATTAGGCAATTTTATTTTGTGTGATTACAGAATGTACTTATATAAACTAAGATCCCTATAACATCACTAGGCAATATAATCCCACAGAACCACTCTTATATATGCAGTATACTGCTGACTGAAAGGTCATAATGCAGCACATGACTATATTCATAAATGGTACTGTAAATGGTGAGTAGGAAGTTAGGACATTGATACATATGAGCTCGTCTTAGGGCAATACTGATATACAGTCCTAATTCTCTGAATGACTCTAGTAAATCTCAAGATTATTCTGAAAAATGTTGCAAATACAAGATGCAAAGGTAATTCATGTCATTCACAGGGTTTTCTCTGGCTTAGATTATTCCACAGAACAGGAAAGGCCATCCTCGCAATGCTTCAGGGAATCATTCTGTTGCAGAGGCAACTATGAATTTAAAAGGATTTTCAGAATTATTTTACTGTTTTATTTTATTGCCCCGAATTAGAGGGCCTATAAACAATGAGGCCAGCCAATGTATGATTCTAATGGACACATTTTTAAATGTGTGTGGTGCTCTTACAGACATTTGCTCTACTTTCAGGGCTGCTCACAGTATTCAAGATCTTAAATTTCAATATCTGCTCCAGAGAAAGACATCTCAGTTTCCCAGGTCCCACATTCACCTCTCTTTCAACCCATTTGTGCTTACTTAGGTCTATAGCTGACCAAGTTGCAGATTTGGAATAAGTCCCTCAGGGCATGGTACTCCCTTCCTCAGAAGGTATACCCACTGAAGATGAAGGTGACTTTTTCTTTTTCTTTTTCTTTTTTTTTTTTTTTGAGAGAGAGAGAATTTTATTTTATTTTATTTTTTTAGTTTTCGGTGGACACAACATCTTTATTTTATTTTTATGTGGTGCTGAGGATGGAACCCAGCGGCCCGTGCATGCCAGGCAAGCGCACTACTGCTTAAGTCACATCCCCAGCCCCTGAAGGTGACTTTTCCAGGATCCTTTTTGATAGGAATAAGTCTCTGACCTCGGTCACATTTCATACTCTCTTTTTTTGGTGGGTGGGAGCGGTACCCACTTAGCCACATCCCCAGCACTATTTTGTATTTAGAGACAGGGTCTCACTGAATTGCTTAGAGCCTCACTTTTGCTAAGGCTGGCTTTGAACTTGCAATCTTCCTGCCTCAGCCTCCCCAGCTGCTGGGATTAGGCATGAGCCACCATACCAGGCTCATATTCTCCTTTTAAGCCAGTTTCTCCCAAACACTTCTGTTTTCAGTTTTGAAAATGTCAGTGAGGCTGCTAGGGCTGAGTGTTCTCAGATGTTTGGTCAACTCAGATCTTCCAGGAAGACCAGAAGAGACCTGAGAACTACAGTGTCCTAAATCAAAGTGGGGTCATAGTGAGAAATGATGGCCATTGTTAATGACTGCAGAGTGCATTAGCATGCAGTTGGGAATTTAAAGAAGAGTAAGTACATACGAATTTACTAGCCCATTTGCAATGATGCAAAATGGTAAAAATAGCATGCTGTATAATAGACTGGTTAGAAGTGTTGGAATGTTATACTTCTTTCAACTATTTACCTCTCTCTCTCTCTCATTTATTTTGGAGGGGAGGTACAAAGGATTGAACCCATGGGTGCTTAACTACTGAGCCAAATCCATAGTCTTTTTTATTTTATTTTTTAAATTTTGAGACAGAGTCTTGCTAAGTGGCTCAGGGCCTAACGTTTCAGGGTCTCACTGAATTGCTGAGCGCCTCACTTTTGCTGAGGCTGACTTTCGACTTGTGACCCTCCTGCCTCAGCCTTTGGAGTCACTGGGATTACAGACATCACTATGTCTGGCCTCATCTTATTTTCTTGCCACCCAAACCTTTAATGGCTTGGTATTTGCTTGCCTGGTATCATACCCAAATCAAAAAATAAGCAGCAATTTGGGGCTATGTATATATTGGGAAACATTTAAAGAATAAGGTTATTGCACAGAAATCTGAGAGCTTATCTAAGTGTCTAGAAGAAAACTTAAATACACTATCTGAAAAAAGAAGAAAGCATTGGAGATGAAAGAGACATTCTTTGAATGAGAGAAGTGAATTTTCATTTATTTTGGTACTGAGCCAACATTTTAAAGAAGACTCAAAGCATATTAATGATCAATTGCATTGTATTAGTGTAGCACCAAAGCTAATGCTGGCCTAGGAATTATTATTTTTCATGAAGGATTAAAATTTGAGCTTATTTTTACTTAAAAAATGTGGTTAAAGATCAACTTCTATCTCTTAGTTCCTCTTTTTCAGTCATGATACACTACACATTATAACTAACTCACTGATATTTAAAAAAAAAAATCAGATCCCCCATGACTTGGTGAGTCAGATTCTAAATTAACAGTCTTCATCATTAGGATAAGGAGAACAGCAGCAAATGAAAAGCCAATTGGAGAGATTCTGATGCTGATACTGATGCTGATGCTGATTTCAAGTTACCAGACTGCTCAGAAAGGTTCACTATATTTATTTAATGTCTCAGAGAACAAGTCCACAATTTCCAGCTTTGTCCTATTGAAGTTACAATGATTGTTAAAATCTCATAAGGAGTTTCTGTTCCACTTTCTAATTCCATGAAAGACTGACTCTTTTGTAAAATGCCTCACTTTGTTCACTTATTTATAACTGAAGATATGCACCAATCTACTTAAATATTTTATGAAATAAAATTAAAAGTGTAAATGTGGTTAACATTTTAAAGATATGCCAATTGAAAGTACTCCTTGAACTCATTTGACCAAGTATATTTTCCCCATTTGTTTTGAAATCACACCTGTGCTAAGACATGCACTCTTTTCCTCTATCTGGTAAGCACAAGGTGTGGGAACTTGTGCAATGGATAATTAATCTCTATTGCTATCTATAGTTTCATAGTTAACACTGTCTTAGCAGAAGTGTGAAAACACATTCACACCTTTGAAAATGGATGATTAACTAATCAAATGACAATATGAATGTTAGACAGAATTACAGAAATGACTGCAAGGCAGAGCTATTTATGATTATAACATTCTATTTAATTTTTTAAGGGTGGATTGTTCAGTATAATCTGTGTTACTCAAACATCTGAGCAGATTCTCAACTTTTTAATTGCATGACTCCTCAAAAAAGAATAAAGACAATTTCAGATTCTCCCTTTAATTAAGTGTTTTCTAAATACAAGGGGTTAAAAAGGGGAAAGAGAAGTACAGGTTAGGACCATAGCAAGGAGGAGTCAAGAGAGGAGAATCAGAGTAAAGTGAATAGTCAGTTACTTATTTTCCCCTTTTGGATTTGGCCACTTCCACTTAAAATGAAAACTAATCTCAATGGATAATTGAATATTTAGTCTATGTCAGCAAGTCCTCTTTTGATTGTCCAAAATATAAAAATCTAAATTGGGAGATAGACCTCTATTTTCATTATTTTGTTAATTTTCTAATTTTTATCTGTGATCTCTCTTTTAAAAAATAATACTTGGAAAAAGGTAATGACACTGGTGGAGAATAGCAGATCTAATAACTGAAACTTTAAAACCAATATCCCATGTATACTGCTTTAAAATCTTTTGGAATAAAAATATTTTTCTGTGTTATATTTAAAGCTGAAGTATATATATGTGGCATATATCACTTATTGCCTTGTAGTAATTTTGAAGGCATCTTAATTGCCTTAGAAGCCTTTGCAATCTAGTTACATATATGTCTTATTACCCTGTTTTTAATTAGCCCAGAACTTTCTTCTAAGTAGGCAAACTTGTCTACTGAATAAACACTAAATAGTAAACGATGAGCAAAAATTTGCCACAAAGTTGCATTCTCATGGAAAAAGTTAATTATTTAAAGCATAAAAAAGCATTATACTCAATTTATATGAGTCACATATTTCTTTGTTACATAGAAAATTTAAAAATGTATTAATTATCACTAGTTTACCAGTGAATGCTGTTAATAGTTTGACCTCATACTTACTGTTGACATTTGGGGTAGTTTAGGGGTACACCAACACCATTTTCCTACTTTGGTCTGTCCCCTTTGCTTTCTTGAAACCACCTTTGTTAGGGTCTTGACCATCTTTTTTTTTTCCTTCTAATTTTTAATTCTCAATAACATTGACCCCACTCAATACTTCTCCCCT